GCTGAGGTAATGTGGTTTAATAGGAAATGTTTCCACTTTACATTACTAAAAACGTTATTCACAGGCAATCCTTGATACGTTAGTGGGATTTAGATGGAAGAGGAAAGGGAATGATCAGGAAGATATTTGTGTTGATTTGAACTCGTCCATCTCTTACTCTGTAATGCATAGTTGTCTTCCTGGTCTCTTTGATTTGTGAGCAATTGTTATATGCAACGGAATCTGTCAATGGTATCCGAGAAAACTTTCTATAATGATGAGATACTGACCTCTCTCTGTTTTTGGCTCCGCCTTCAATTTTCTTTTTAAACTTAGGTCATCGATTTTAATTGTAAGGATGGCATACTGACCCATCTGTTTTTAGTTCAACAAGATAACCATCACAACTCTTGATTAAATTTATGCCATCAATTTTTTTATTTTTTTATTTTTATAATCATATACGGAGTAATTTATATCATTAAATTTTGTCTAGCTTTCATCATATTTAAGTTGCTTTTATTTACCTATCCTTTAACAGGTATTTCACTATCATGACAATTATTACAATCCAACTCAGCTTCACAACCAATCACAATTGTCTTCTTTCTCCAGGTTCTGCGTAGGTGCGGGCAGTCTGTTGAACTTCTTGATGTCTCCAATGAGCTTCCTCATCTTATTCGCCGGCCAGGTCTTAAAAGATGGAAGGTGTATGGCAAGCTTTTCTAGTGCTTATTAACACATAATCTTTGACATATTTTTCTTTCTTTTGTTCTTCTTCTGGGATCATTTGACTCTGCCTTTAACAAATTTTGCTCTAAGTTCTCCTGTAACTGTAAGTATGATTAAGGCATTTGGTTTATGAGTTCTGTATCCCACATCGGATATCAGATCTGATTCTGATTATCTCATTTGTTTGTGTACTCTTGCTACTCCACCATTGGATTTAAATCCTTTACTCTTTAGTAATGATAAAAGCCATTGCCCTTCCCCTCTCCTACTTTTGGACTTTGGAATAAAAAATAGAGAAGAAAAAGTTTTAAAAAAAAAAAAAAACATCTTCCATGCCTTTGTTGTGGAATTTGAATATATTTGTGTGCATATTTATTTATTTGGAATCCTGTTCTTGTTTACTACCAAAAAAGATATTTTTACTAAAATCCATTCTAAATACTAAGTTCTTGATTCCGATATTTAAACCAAATACCCCCTTAAATGTGTTCATACATAGTTTTCCATTTGGGGTTGTGTAGGATGGCTGCTAGAACCTTTCTGTAGAAAATTTTCCCCATGACAGAAGATCATGGGCTCTGTTACTGTCAGGCCCTAGTGAATCTGAGAAACAGAAGGGTTAGGCGTCAAATGTGATTACAAAGAAGCAATGCATGAATTTTTTTTTTTTTTTTTAAAAAAAAAAAAAAAAAAAAAAAAAACTAATAGCTTGCAGATTCAAAGCCCAAGAGAAGAGAATAAGAGGCATGCCATAACTAATATACGTGTATATATTATATATAAAGAATGATGCACATGTTTTCTATGTATGGATTACACACACACACACACATGTAATATGTTGGATAAAGTTTATTGCAACCCCACCTAGAATTTCTTTTTAGTAATCCAGTAAGGTAAGAGTAAGGTACTCATCTAGCTTGACAATATGCCTAGATCTCAGAGGACTTTTTCTTCCAATTGATTTTCCTCAATGTCTTTTACAAGTACACATTGACTCTGTCTATTTAAGTGGGTTGCAAAAGAAGTAATTTGGAATACCATACTGCTAGATAACTGTTAGCACATGATTGTGCTTGTGCTAAGATTAGAGGATACAATAGGGAAACAGACATCTTGCTAAGTTGCTAATATGAACTCTTCTTTTGACTGAATCCAGGGCAGCATGACAAATTTCCATGATCTGCACAGAGAAGGGGAGGGGGATAATTTTAATGCGGGACACTTTGTTATCATGCATAATACTCTTTGATTCATGTTTAGGTCACATTGCATGTGATCTGATAATCATTTAACTGAAATTGCAGGTTAAGGATAAAGGAGTGTGGTTGACTTCTTACAAAGATGTTCCTAAACATCGCAGAGCTGCAATTGTTCCTGGAATGTTTCCTTCTGGCAAGACCGAAGTAGATTCATCTATGAATGAAGTGACCACTACTGAATCGTGTGATAATGGTTGTAACCAGAATTTAAAAAATGTGGTACTGATGGCAGAAGAACATGCAACTTCCACTAACATCATGGAGGAGGAAGTCTCAACATTACCTTTAGAACACTGTATGAGAATAGTGCCTCATGATCAGAACACTGGAGCTTTTTTTATTGCTGTCTTTCACAAGCTTTCCCAATTGCCAGGCAAGTAAAATTTGTTTTGATCAGTTTTGATTGTAGAATATTTAGAGCGGTTTTCTGGGTTTGATGTTACATGGTGCCTTGGTGTTTGTCAGCTGCTGCATATGTATGTCAAAGTGACTACAGAGACTACCCAAAAAAACCAGTGCTTGCATTTTGAGTATAAAATTTCATTTGGTATAAGTATAGTGATTCTTTACTGCTTGGAGAGTTCTTTCAAAATAAACAAATAAATAGTGTGTCAACTTACAACATGCCTTCTGGATCTAAGGTTAATTCAGTAAATAGTGTATCATTGCTTTTATTTTTCCTGATCCTCAGCAACTAAGGATTGAAGGCTTGCTTGTAGTTTAGTCATGGCTATTAAGTGCTCGAAACTGGGATGTTTTTCCTCCAATTTCAGTGCTAGTTTTTAATCTCATTTGCATCACCATTAAATTGTTTACTTTCTCTTCATCCAAGCAGATAATCATAAAGAACTTGCTAGTCAGCCGGAGAAATTGAAATCCAGTGAATATATTCAAATAGAGAAGTCAACAGCTGAGATCAAAGAGGCTTCAAAAGGGTTGGAAGCAAAGTCGGCAGATACTGAAAGTGTTCAAATTCCTGAAGGGACAAAAGACACAGATATACTTGATAATGAAATAGATGACCCTACTTTTAATAATAAGTCTGGTAAAACATCTCAAGGAAATGAAGCTGATGATGTCCAACCTTCTACTTGTACTAGTGCTAGTCCAGATGCAGAGATGGTAGGAAGAAAACGGAAATTACAAATTCAGGGCAAGTGGAGAGGGGTTGACCCTGTTATCTTTTACAAGGATGATGAAGTTATAAATAAGATCAAGAATTTCTATGGTATTAAAGAATCTTTACCCTTTGATGGGCATCTCATTACAAGAAATAGTGACATGAACCATGTGAAGCGAATCTACTATATATCTAAGTCCGTGAAGAAGGTTCTTGAACTCAATTTTATAACTGGACAGCAGCTTAAGATAGCTTCAGTTGGTCTGAAGATTTCTGTAAGTTTTCCTTATATTAAACTTGCAGCAGTGTTTCTTCCCAGCTAATACTAGATTTTTTTTATTTTTTTATTTTTTTATTTTTTATTTTTTATTTTTTTTATTTCCACTCAGTAGTCAGTACTCTGGCCATTTAATGTCTCATGTTTTCTGGGAGGAAGGGCATTATTTGAAAAATAAAAAATAAAAAAAAATTGTATACTGGGCAGGAGGCACGCCAGTTTTACACCACTTTTCCTCACCCCACAAGGGGGAGAAAAGAAAAGAAATATGAGACAAATTTGAACTTGTGTTGTGTGTGTGAGAGAGATGCAACTTGTTTTTATCCTCGTATCAATTTTACATTCAATGCATTTTGTGATAAGTTTAGTTTACTTTTGTTCAGGAACGTCACACATCTAAAGACAGTGTTTCTGCACCATGTGCATTTCGCATAACATCCGAAGGGTTGCCATTGCTACTGCCACATATAACAAAACAAATTCTGTATGCGTCTCCCATAGACTTCAAGCATCTGCTGCAGTACAAAAGCATTAAATTCGCAGATTTCGTTAATGCTGACTTTGGAGAAAAGGCTTCAAACCTATTGTTGGGTTGCTGTGTGGTGGTTTTAGATAAAGGTTACATGTCGCCATGTATTGTAATAATCATCTTAGAATAATATAGTTTTGTGTTGGTTCTAAAGGTTGTTTGTTTCCTGCAGATAAGCAGGTGGCAATTGGGTGCTGGATAGGGAGGGCTAATATCTCTGTGATGGTCTCTGCACTTGACTGCCAAGAACTATTAGAAAGGATGCCTATGTACATGGAAGAAGATACAGCGTTGTCTTTGCATGAAAACAAACCATCAATTGTCAAGGAAAAAGATCAAGTAGGAGACAATACTGAAACTAAAGCAAATTCTGAAGTTCCTTAGCAAACTGGAACATAGTTTGGGCCATGTATTGTACCATATATACATTAAAATTTTGTAAGGTCTTACTATTTGTCCACGGGTTCTATTAGTGACGTAGTTTCAAGTACAAAGAACTACCATAAATTGTTTTTTTTTTTCCCTCATTTTCTCTGTTTCCATTGGATCTTGTATAATAAATGACTTTTTTACATGCTTATAGAGAACATAATAGGACAGCAGATTAACTTGTTAAAACATCCCTCCATCATGTCAGGATATTCAAGGGTAGCCTGCACCGGCTTAGCTGGTTCAATAGACAATATTTGGAGAAAGAGACTAAGGTCAATGTGGGGATTATGCCTAAAGTGAGTACATTCCTTGTGCGTACTAGCATTCAGTCATGTTTCAGAGTCATTGAGTTATTATGATTTACATCCTTTCGGTAATGTTGAGATTATGCTTAAAGTAAGTAGATTCCTTGTGTGTACTAGAATTTAGTCATGTTTACAGAGTCCTTGAGTTATCATAATTTACGTTATTCCAAATACCTTATCAATGTATGTTTCTCAATTGATGCAGATCATTTCTTCATTAATGCTTTTTGTGTTACCCATCTTACAGATTTTTTTTTTTTTTTTTTTTAAAGAAAGGTTGCAAAGAAGTGATAAACAGGATGAAAGCCACCTCCATGACATTCTATAATAAATAAGGATCCAAAATGAAAGAGAGACTGTGAACTAGTGGTAGCAAAAGCAATCTCATCTTGAATATAAAGGCAACAGATCCACAATATGAAGACATACCACAATGTACTAACATAATACTTGCTAGAAAGACTGGTAGAAACCCAATATGGTCACCCCGTGTAACAACTAGTTTATCCACTCTTCAAGAACATGTAACCATTTCTCCCCCCTCCCAAAAAACAGTAAAATGTAAAAAATTATAAGATATACAATCAAAATAAACCAGATATTAGAAGAATGGGTATCATCAGAATCTCACAGAACCTGCCGAACAAAAGAAGACGAATCATACAATCCCCTCAGGAACTACAGCACATAGACTTCTTTTGTGGGATGACTTGCCCAGGACCAGGCACAAGAATCTTCTTCCCGGTTAAAGATGCAGCGGCATTCCCATTCCCTTGATTCTCAGCAGCCGCCAGATTCTTCCTGTTCACAATGTTGAAGATCTCTGTTAGCACCGTGGTAAACGCTTCCTCCACGTTTTTAGCTTCCATGGCAGACGTCTCCAAGAAGAACAACCCTTCCTTCTGAGCAAACTCTTTAGCATCCTCAGTTGGAACATCCCGCCGGTCTTCCAGATCAGTTTTGTTCCCAATTAGCATTATCACTATGTTCTTATCAGCATGAGCACGCAGCTCTTCCAACCAACGAGGTATGTGATCAAAGGTTTGGCGTTTCGTTATATCGTACACTAACATCGCACCCACAGCTCCCCTGTAGTAGGCACTCGTAACAGCTCTATATCTGGTTAAAAATTAGGGCACCAAAACAACACAAATCAGTATTCAGCAGACTTGCTTATTAACACCATAGTATCTGTTCTATGCTTTATCGTTTTTAGCTTAAAGAATCAATGATAACAGAAGTGTGTTGAACATATAACCATTAATGTGCAATCCAACTATCAGCATTGGGTTTCAATTTGGTATTTAGAGCCAGGTCATGGGTTCGAATCTCTACGTAACCCGATAAGCGACTATAGTCCACGTGTTAAGCGACTATAGTCCACGTGTTGTTTGGAACCCACTGAGGGGACATGTTGAGTATATATACATTAATGTGCAAACTATCAGCTTAGACTTTTAGTTGAGATGAAACACATGCTTCAATTGTGTCATCACATCACATAATAGTTAGAGATCCAAGCATTCTATGATACGGATTTGTCATATTGTATACTATTATTTAAGTATTTGTGGTGCAATTACATGATTAAGTTTATTTCTAAGCAAAACGAGGCTCCCACAACTCTAAAGACAATTCACTATTATCATCTAGTATTTCTTATGATTGTAGATTTATATATGATATAAAAAGAGAAGATGAGAGAAGAGAATATATGTATATATAATACCGTTCTTGGCCGGCGGTGTCCCAGATCTGAGCTTTGACGGATTTGTGTTGGATGAGCATAGTCCGGGTTTGGAACTCCACCCCAATGGTAGCCTTTGAATCGAGGCTGAACTCGTTCCGGGCAAACCGAGCCAGTATCTGAGACTTCCCCACCGCCGAGTCTCCGATCAGCACCACCTTGAACACATAATCTATCTTCTGCCCCGCCGCATCACCATATCCTCCGCCACTCGCCATTCTTCTTTCTCTCTCTCTCTATATCTCTCTTCTCTTCCTCTATATATCTCTCCCCTTTTGTAGAAGCGTAGATTAAGAGTAGCAGTAGCAGCGTAGGCGTAGCTGAGGAGAGAAGAGTTGAAGAAACAGAGAAAGCCGTAGACGGTAGATCTTGACGATGGAAATGTCGTTTACTAGGCTCCCTCCTTATATTTACATTTTTTTACTGTAAAAAAAGAAAAAAAAAGAAAACTAAAAGAGCAATAATAAATTATGATGTGTTGCCAAGCACCTTGTGCTCAGATGGCATGTAGTGACCTCTCCCATGTGGGAAGTCATGAGATCGAGCCTCAGTGGAGGCGTTGTGCTTCATTAGGTTGAGAAAGTATATTTGAACAGATACTACAATGTAATAGAGTCAGTAGCATTCACAAAAAAAAAAAAAATTATTAGTACAATAATATTTTATCAAATTATTATGAAATATGAATCACTTTTAATTTGTACGGGGTTACATGTTTTTTTATGCATTTTTTAATAATATAATTTTATTGTCTGTCGGCGCTGAATTATTATTACATTTAAACCCTGGTTTTGTGAGTTTTCTTTCAACCATTACGGAAAATTGGTATTGAGTTACTGCAAAATAAATGTTAAAATAAGTGATCTCTCACTTGAACAATCAATTTACTGGTTAGACTTTTAGTATTCTAATTTATAATTCAAATTCTGCACTGTCACTTTTAATCGTGACTTCATGTTAGATAATGAATCACTACACTAAGCCTGGGGCAATTACATTTTTTTTTATTCTGTATTATAATTTGTCGTGCTTATTGAATTAACATTAGAGATGGTTATATTCAATTATTTTAAAATATTAGAATTGAGAGCGGACTCTAAATTGAATTAGATTAATTTTTTGCTATACATTTGTTACATGATTTAGTTATTTGATTAGTTCTTTAACTAAATACAATGATATTATTCAAAATTTAAAATTTTAGTGCTATTTTTTTTTACTAATCAAGTGTCAAAATCCTAATTTCCGCACTAAAATCATTAAAGCTTTTTGTTATGCTTAATATTTCTAGCTAAACTTTGACTTCCTTTAGAAGGTCGTGAATATTTATCATCGCTCACCTCACGTGTGTGGGCTGATACTTTTGATGGGCTCACTTCCCTTACGCCCTCTCCCCTCACGTGTGCGGGTCGATAATTTTTATGGGCTCCAAACAACACGGTGTGCCTTTTGATGGGCTCACTTCCCTTACGCCCCCTCCCCTTCACGTGTGCGGGCCGATACTTTTGATGAGCTCCCAGCAACATGTGGACCGTAGTCTTTTTTTTTTTTTATCTGGTGACACTGAGATTCTATCCCATATCAAATTGAAACATATGTTTCATTTCAACTAAAAGTCTAAGTTGATAGTTGAATTACATATTTATATTATATTATATGCTCAACGGGACTCATTTGTAAATCGTGCAAACAAAATTTAAATTTGTGAATTGCATATATCATTGTAGGGTGATAAGGAGAGAGTATATTTTTAAATAGAGAATCATAAACAAAAGAATAAAAATAAGAATTGAAAATTATTATATTAAAAAAAAAAAAACCAATATTCGTGAATCGAGGATTGATCAAGAATGTCTACTGTGGAAAGGACAAGAGCTTTAAATAAATTAATTAATAAATTAATTAATTGTGATGGGATTGAAGATAGAGACGAGAGTGGGGTTGAAACAGTCACGTTGCAATGATGACAGCTTAATGCAGCATTTAATCATTCATCATAAATCAATAAATCAATTCAGTTAAAAACATTGGGAGTAATTAATTATTAATTATTATTATAGGAAATTTGAAAAGGAAACATTTGATTGGGTGAACCGTTGTATCGCATTGGTCGATTCCGAGTTCCGACGTGGACAGAAGCGAATTTTTCTACGCCCGTATTTCTCGGGCGGCCTGCCTGCCTGTCTCCCTTGATACTTTGACCCATAAGAGATTTCTGTCGTCCAGAGCCCACGGCCCAACAGTTTTCCTTCTTACGGCCCATGGGCTCATACCACAACAATAAGGTTATATATTACTGAAATGGGCAAATTATTATGTGCATCTCGATCCACCTTGCAACTCACTGAAATGGCTTTATATTGGATCCTCAAAACTTGATTTCTTATTGAGTAATAATGAGTATTTGATGAGTTGTTATACCATGGATCCGCAAATTATTGTGTGGACCATGATTCACATAGTGTTGTATGGATCATAAAAGAAAGTACATTATTTGTGTACTCAATATATATTTAGTATTCAAATAATGTATTTTTCTTGAAAATAAAGTACAGTTTTAATATACTAAAAGTACATTATTTGTGTACTAAATGTACATTATTTTATAGTATTCAAAATATGGTCCACACAGCTTGTGTGGACCATGATTGCCATGGACCGGGGTCCACCTTGCAAGGTGGACCTTCGTCCTAAACGATGTATAAATTGTGTATTTTTAGTATTGGAATTGTGAACTTCTAGAATATAAACTGTGTTTCTAAGTCAAAACGCATACCAGTTGTAGAAGAGAATTTGTAAATACAATATACAGAGTCATCAAATCCTAATATGTTAATATTGTTTGATTGCAATATTTGAAAGAAACTTGTGAATACAAAATAAGGTAATCAATTACATATATGTTAACATTGTGTGTTTGTAGTATACAATTTGTGAATTTGTAAAAGGTAAATTGTGAACATTTAGTATGTAAATTATGAATATTTGGACTCAGGTCCACCTTGATCTTGCAAGGTGGACCCGGGTCTAAAGAATAATTTGCGGTATTTGGCCTTTCAAAATTGTAATATAATGAGTTCAAATACATAAAATAATATTTGTTGTGGGTTTAAGTATATTGTAACATGTAGTGTGATGACACCTCTATTATTATTTTAAATGAGTATAGAATAGATGCCATCTTATAAGAAATTATGAGTTAAAAAAAAAAAAAAAAAAAAAAAAAAAAAAAAGAGAGAGATCAGTATATGATAATATGTATGCCAATTATTTTTTTCTAAATTTAAAAACATATTTAATCATTTTTTATTGATTATCAATCTCGATCCTGTCATTCAGCTCCCACACTGCCATTAGTAAGAATGGTATGCCCATAACCTACTTAACTTTGTGGTTGGTCGCCTTTTCCAGCAAAGGAGAATGCCGCAAACCAATTAGTCGCCTCCTTCAGCCCATCTCCAATCGCCAGAGAAAGCAACCGAACGGGTCCTCCGCTTTCTACTGTATCTGTCGAGATAAAATTAAAAATATAATGCTTTTAAACTAAATGAAAAAGCCAAACACCTTGTGCTCAGATGACACCCGAGTTGGATTTCCATATAGGAGGTTATGAGTTTGAGCCTCGATGAAAGTATTATTGACTCTTTATATTTTAAAAAGTTGAGAAAATAATTATGAACGTATACTACATTATAATAGAGTCAATAACATAATATAATTTAAAGGCTCTCTCTTGATGAATCTGTGTCGCCGTAATACATGTAACATGTATTTTGCAGACAATACTCATATGCATGAAGTATTTTCTATCTTATACACGTGTCAGTTGTGACGTCCATCTTGACAAGAAAATAAATGGAGAAAACTTAAATCATATTTAATATACTGATTTTGAATTTAGTAGTAGTGTCAAATATTATAGCATATAAACTGGCCCATATATGTTAATCGTGTCAGTGTAAACTCATGTAAACCTAGCTCATACCTAGCTCATATTATTATCTAAAGATAGAATCATTTAAATTAAAAATTCACACACACACTCACTCTTTTTCTCTCTCTCTCTCTCTCTATATATATATATATATATATATAAGCAATAAGCTCTGTTTGGTAATGTCCCAAAATAAGCTCCTTGCTTAAAATAATAGTTTATTTTGAAATGTTTCAAAATAAGCTCTTAGTTTTTTTTTTTTTTCATTTTTATCCTTATTATTTTAAAGAAATGACATAATTTATCGTTCCCAATTAAATCTATTTTTTTCTTTTTCTTTATCCTCAACTTTCACCGCAAATATTATTATTATTATTATTATCATTATTATTATTATTATTATTATTATTACTAGTAATTCACCCGCGCGATGCACGGGAAAAAAATTATGCTATTATAAATATAAATAAAAAATAGAAAAACTCAAATATTTTAAATTATTTAATATAATAATATTTTTGAACTTACATTGGTCAAGTATTTATTATTTTTATAGAATACAAAATTACAATTAAAATTAAAATTAAAATTAAAATTAAAGTATAATTTTGTATGGTTAATATAATCTCCAATTATGTGCATATTCAAATAAACTTATAGAGAGAATTTACATATTTACATTGATTTATTCTTAATTGTATTTCATCTATATTATAATTTTCACAATACGAATAATAACTAAGATAATTACATTTGGAAAGCAAATTTCAAATTCTGTAAGTGTAAATTTAAACTCTAATTGAACACATTTTTTATATGATTATATAATATATAGCTATTTTATTTTTCAAAAGTATATTTTTTATATGATTATATAATATATAGCTATTTTATTTTTTAAATGTTGTGTGTTTTTTTTTTTTTTTTATAATAAAGGATGTTGTGGCATTAATTGTAATATTAATTATTTCCCAAACCATATAGCTTTATTATATAAAGGATTATTATTATTATTATTATTATTAGATTTGCAACAATATTATCACTTGATTATGAGATGCTAGATCATGATTATGCTAATAGTTTTATTTCAAAATGTTAAATTTTAATATGTAAACAAACTAATTTAAATTTTATGAAGATGTCATTTTTAGTCTTTTTACATTTATCAACTTATCAAAAAGCTAATTTCACCAAACACTTTCAATCATAATAGCTAGCTTAACAGCTCTTCAGTTTTCAGCTCCGAGCTTATAGCTTTTCAGCTAGGTTTGCGAAACAGAGCCAATTTGTAAAATTTTAGTCTAAAAATTATTGAGAAATTGCAGGCTTAGTTAAAAAATTTTGGTTGTTAGCGAGGAGGATGAAACTGAAAGTGGAATTGGAATTGGAATTGGGTGACTTTTAATTTCAATCATCATCGTACCACTGGTTGTGTTTAATTAATTAATTAATTA